TGAACATATCAAATGGTAAATTCTAGAACTAAACAATTCATAAGTTTTAAGTTGTATGTTATTCTGAGTAGTGTGATAATATTTCACACCATCCTCTCTGTCCTGTGAATTCTCCCTTTGCCCAGCTTATCCATACTGAATATGCTACCCACCCATTAGTCACTTAGTAGCCATGTAGGTTATCAGATCCACTGGTATCTCAATGCTGGTATCTCAATGCTTGTGCTCAAGTCCCCTTATTTTACTTAATAAAGGCCCAAAGCCCAAGAGTAGTCATGCTGGTGATTTGTATATGCCAAAGAGAAGCCATAAAGTGATTCCTTTAAGTGAAAAGTTATGTATGTGTAGGAAGAAAACATAGTATATCAGGCATCCACTGGGGGTCTTGGAATGAATCCCTCTTGGATAAGGGGGTAATACTATATGCCTTTAAAAGTAATAGTTTTATGATTTTTTTAGTAAAATTTGGGATTAGAGCAGGATAATTAATAGTGCAGACTTTGGAGTTAAACAGAATAGGTTTTGACCCCCAACACTACCAATTCCTAGTCCTGTGATTTTTTGTGAAGTACTCATCCCTAAGTTCCTTGTCAATAAAATAAGAATAATAATATCAGATAATCTGTAGGATTAATGAGATCATGCACGCAATCAAAGAAAGCTTTTGGCTCATGGTAGTAGGTGAAGTGGTGATTATTTAAAATTATTTTTAATTAAAACTTATAATGGCCATTGTTTAATAGAAAGACTTTAGGGGTATGATCTCAGGGATATGTCCTGAATAATTGTCCTCTATTTTATATATTAAAGGGGTTGTATGGTTTTGTAAGAAAGGGGCAATTTCGTTCTTTTGGACTACATTCCTAGTCAGGGATTAAATTGTACATTTGACTGTTCCTGTTAGAGCTAAATCATCTCATTTCTTTATTATTTGGAGGGAGAGCTTAGATGTGTTGTTCACTGTCTGAAAGGGCAAGCAGCCTTGTTAATCTCCAGGAAAGAATAGTCCATATAGGAAAGTATGCCAGCGGGGTGCCCCTGACTATCTTTCAGATGAAAGGAATATCTAATATTATTTATTAGACATGATATGATGATGTACTGTTTTTAAAAATACACTGATTTACTGGTGTTAAAAATAAACCAATTTATGAAATACTTAGAATTAAAGGTAAACTAACACCATATGTAATACATAAGTAAAATAATGATTGGGACCATTGGATGTGTCCTAATTCTTTTATGCTTAGAAGAAACATTTCTTTTCAAGATATATTAATTTGATGTAATTGGTTGATTTGGCTCAACAAGCCCTTGAATATATTTGAAGAATCATCTTATGTAACTAGTTTTTAATGCTCAAGACTTGCACCTGTAATTCATATTTCTTTTATCCAGGCTTGATTCCTATAAACCACCTCTTTATCTCTTGCATTTTTCTTCTGCCTGCTTAAAAGCTGCTGATATTTCCCTTCAATTTCTATAAGTTGCTAAGATCAAGAATAACTAATATTTTCAAAAATCATCAAGTATTTTTAAAAGGAACAAGAATAAGCCAGTTTCTTATACTAGTATGTTGGTAGTATTGGTGTGCATCCTGTAATTAAAATAGCTAAGGATAGCTTTTAGTATTTTATGTTTGTTGATCATATTATACTACATTAGTCTATCTGGTCTTTATTTGCACTTAACCAAGTCAGACCTGTTAGACATTTACTTTATTTGTTCCTTTTCACACTACTATGGTTTAATAAGATATTTTTCCTCTGAAAATACTGTTTTCAATGTCCAAAAATTTCATTCTAAGTGATGACCTGGCAACCTTGAAACATTTTAATGAAAATAAAAGTTATGAAGATTAAAGAAACCCCGCCCATCCTATGTACCAAACAGATATTTGAGAAGAAACTCACAGTGAAAGAGGGGATTGCAATGGTGAACATTTCCTAAGAGGGATGCCAGTGAATAACGTCAACTATGTGCAAGAACTACTGTAGTTTTGAGAGCTGCTTGCTGTGTGTCCCCAGATGAGTGCAGGCTTCCGCTGGAGAGCTTGAAGGGGGGCCTGGAGCATCCCACGCTGCTCAGAGGCCATGGGAACAATCCTGGGAGGATTGCTGCCATGCATATTTTTGGCATTAAAAAAATAGTACTTAGTACGTGAACTACATTAGCAAACAGTGAAACAAAAGTAAAAATTCACCTTCATACCTGTCACCTGAGCAAATCATTATGTGTGATTCAGTTTTGTGAATAAAAGGAGAGACAGTGATGTGGGTGGCATGGGGTGGGCCAGCTATCGTGCTATGTGAACATGGCTCCATTTTATAAAATATTTGCTTCACTTGTGTTTGCAAGCTAAGTTTATTTGGTTGCGTTTTAACCACAAAGACGGAAATCTGTGGTACTAGTCTTTTGGGGGACAGTGCATGTTTTGTTGGTTCCACTGTTTAGCAGCCAGACTGTACACTGATAAACAGAAAGCACTGTACCTGCCTTGTTCTCATATAGTAATTAAGCTGCAGAGGGAAATACCCTTCCCTCTTCCCAAGAGCATTAAGCTAAGCTTGAAAGCTGATTAAAAGATACTTAAGATTTTAACATATGTTTTCCTATTTTTATAAGTATATGCCTTGCCTTTAAATTATGTTTAGTGAAGTCAGTAAATTCTCTGTTCACCAAAATAATATTTTATACATTCAGTGGTTGACCATTAAGCCACAGGCATAGACTACATTTGCCTTCTCATGTAATGAATTTGTGTGGAAAGCAGTTAAACGGTGTCTTCAGGAGCTTGGTCATTTAAAGAATGCAGAGGAAATAGCATTAAGTGTCACAAAATTGTGTACCTTACTTATTTAAACCTATGTTTTCTGGGAATTTCTTGGAATGCATTTTCCCATAGAAGTAATATGAATATGTGTCTCTGTGTTTTTAAAGCAGCAGAACCCCCCCACCCCACCCCACCCCACCCTATTTTCCCCAAACAAAATCTTAGATAGGGCTCTACTTTATTTTCTTGGGGATCTTTTAATCTCCAGTTGTGTTAGCCTAAATAAGACATGGAATTTGTTATAAAGGTCTAGGTTATTTATGTACCCCAGAGGCAGGAATGCATGGAAAATCCAGAATGTCCTCTTTTTCCATCTCTTGCCTCTAACCTTTTCTCTGTATGTCTGCTTCTTTTTTTTTTTCTGTTTCTTTCCCTGCAGAATTGCTTTCTTAGTTTACTAATCTACATGACAGAGAACAGAGCTGAGACTAGGGTGAGGTGAATGAGGTGCAAAATTTCAGAGAGAACCAAAAAATTCAGGATGGAGAGAAATAATATGTTAATGTAATATTTCAAAGTTAATGATGAGCACAATATCAAAATTTTTAAAAAAGGTAGGATTAGTATAAAAAGAGCTCGTTTAGTGAGTTGGTTTCCAAATAATAAGGGAATTTAATTTATCTTACGATTTTTTTATTATAATTTTTGGAATGTCTGAAAAATATAAAGTTCAATGTGTCCTTTAATTTTGGATGATTTTAACTTTTAGGATACTTGCTCTTCATTTGCCTTGTTATTGGGTGAGTTTAAAAATATTTGAATTTCAGAAAGGTTAAGTTTTTTGTTACCTGTCTGTAATAATAAACATTCTTTTGCCATTTTAAAGTTCAAGTGACCATCTGTGTTAGTGTTTGTGTTAGGCTATAATAGCCTGGAGATGATAACCTAGATTCTGAAAGGAAACTGTAGCAGTGATAGGTTACTAAGAAAGTATCTTAGATAATAAAACTGTGTGCCTTGAATTATTCTCAGCCCCTGCCCTACTCAGTCATAATGGAATCATTGAAAGTGATGCTCATTTTTAGGTTTGTCAAAACAAATTTGAAATAAATGAAAGTATAGATATCCTATTTTTTATAATTATAGATGAAGAAAGAAAACAAGAAATAAAAAATATAATTTTGTGAATAATGTTAGAAAAAACCTGATGTTCAATAACAATGGGATACTTAAGCAAATTATGATATATCTATATGAATTACTATATAGTCATACCCAATTGAGGGTTTGTATGCACTATAACAAATACTATATTTTAGTCATATTGGAAACCATGGTTCCTCTTTTGTACAAATCAGCAGAAATAGGCACAGCTTAACACATTCCTTTTATAAGTGTTTTTACTTTGTTATTGCTTTTCAAAATATAATTGAGGCAGAAGAGAACCTGCTTAAGATTTTCCAGGTTGGAATTAATTTTTCCACTTGAGTGTATTAGAAAGTAGGTGCTAGAGACCCTCTAATGAGAGCTGTAAAGCATCGTCATGGACCAGGTGCCAGACTATTCAAATAATTTAATTTTCTCTTTAGAGTTACACCAGTGATTGAAAACATGGGCTGTGAGGGGAGGGGCTAGAGGGTTGGGGTGAGATTAAATGAATATATAGGCAAGGAGCAATTTCAAGGTTGATAACTTCATCCTATTATATATTTCCAACTATGCTAATCCTAAAGCTCTTCTGAGAATCTATTTTCTATTTTCTACTAATTTTCATCCTCTCTGTATGTTATTTTTTAAATCTAGTTTTCAGAAATCTGCTCCTTGAATAGAAAATCATTTTTCTGTAGACGTTTAACAAAGACATACTTTTTTTAATCTTAATTTCCCCAGTATTCATGTTTGGAAGGAAAGTAAAATCGCATAAATGATGAGTGAACTAGTACTTGTGGTTTAGAACTTCGTAGGTTTAGTTTATCAAATGTAAATTTTTCCCTTTGGCCGCTTGATGTTTTAATTTTTACTGTAGCCCTTAATTTAGGTATTGTTGGGTTTCGATAAAGTAAAAAAAAAACTTGAACACTTAACTTTTTGGACTATTGTTTATTAAAAGAGCATTCAGTCGGAATGTTATATCTCAATTGTAAAACTCCTTGGGAATCTAAAGGCCCAAAGGGTGCGTTTTTTGCATTTAGCTTACTGTGCTTTTCTTTCATGTCTTTCTGTTCAGCTGGAATGCTTGCCAATTCTGCTGCAAAGCTCTAGGCTGACCCTGCGGACCCCAGAACCCTGCTGGAAAATGCCGTCTGAACACTGCCTCAGGTGAGCCTGGCAGCATATGTCCTGCGTGGTGTAGTCAGCCCCCAGCCTTCACACTGCACATTCCAGGACCAAAGGCAGAGCAGGGGCGCAACACATATTTGAAGGAATTAAGCCATCCAGTCAGAGTGTGTGTGAGTTTCATATGGTAACACCAGGGCTAAGTGCTGTGATCTGGTTACTAGTCAGACCTAGACATGTTTCATCGTTCTTTGACTGATACTAGTTTTTATCTTTTTCTTATTTAGGATATTAACCTCCCTCAAACAAAAGGCATACTGCTATAAAGGTATATGATTTTAAAAAATTGTAATTTTTTAAATTCATAACTGTAATTGGCCAGGTAGCTTTGTCGGTTAGAATGTCATCGCCACATGCCATGGTTGCAGGTTCGATCTCCAGTCAGGGCACATACAAGAATCAACCAATGAATGCATAAATAAGTAAAACAACAAATCAATGTTTCTCTCTCAAATCAATTCATTTTTAAAAAATAATCAGAAAGCTATACATATATTTGACTGTCATCCTAAAGCAATCACTGGGGAGTGTGATACGTTTTCTCAAAATACTCATGACATTTTCTCTTAATAATTTACTTATTTAACATATTTATTGAACCAAGCACCCTACTTGGTGCAGAGGATCCAGCAGTGAATAACATAGATGAGGTTATAAAATGTATATTCTATGGGCAAATCACACCAGGAATAATGCAAATGTCATTGTGAGAAGTGCTTTGGAGGAAGAGTACAGGATTGCTGGGATGAGGAAGTGCCTTCCTTAGGAAGCTCTCTATGGTCTGAGTTCTGCAGGTGGGATGACAAGGGGAAATGCCTCAGGCAGAATGGAGCTTGGCATATTCCCCAAACCGAGAGGCAGTCATTTAGAAAATGCAGGGTGTTCCTTTGAATAGTCTCAGTGGAGGCAAGTCTTCATCAGCCTCTGAGGAAACAAATGGATCTTCAGATCAAAGAATAAGAAAGGTGATAAACCTGGGAAATACCTTCTTTATAAAAATACTAAGAATTGGATTTGTCTATGAAATACTGAAACCAGCTTTCCTCCACAACTCTGAAGCTATTAGGGATAACCAGTTCCCAAAATGTGTTCCGAAACAGGCATTGCTGCTGGTGGCATGGTGCCTCTGCACTCCCCAAGGGAATCTGCTGCTCTAGACCAGTGACTCTCTAGGGCAGTGGCTCTCAACCTTCTGGCCCTTTAATACAGTTCCTCATGTTGTGACCCCCAACCATACAATTATTTTCGTTGCTACTTCATAACTGTAATTGTGCTACTGTTATGAATCGTAATGTAAATATCTGATATGCAGGATGGTCTTAGGCGACCCCTGTGAAAGGGTCGTTCAACCGCCAAAGGGGTCGCGACCCACAGGTTGAGAACCGCTGCTCTAGGGGGATGAGTTTGCCCTCAGGATACATTGTGCAAATACCTGGCAACATTTTTGGTTATCACTCAGGGGCAGGGATGCTAAATATCTTAAAATGCATAAGATAACCTTCCCCTAGTGCTCTCCCCCATAGCAAAAAAAGAAAACAAAAACTGACCTAACCCAGAACATGGATTTCACTGACATGGAGAAACCCTGCTCTAGATTTGGCCTCCAGCCAATAGAGCACATAAAGATCGTGGTATCTGTCTGCCACCACCTCAGCCAAGTGCTTTATTTTTGGCTACCAGGATCCACGTGCATTCTTCTGAAATGATTTTTTTTCTTTAAATCTGCCATCTCTGTTTTTACTGATCAACTCCCATTGCCATCTGTCCTCCACAGCACTGTCATCTCCACCGTGGTCTTTCCTTCTCTGCTGAGACCCAGAGCCCTCCCTTCCCCACCTTTCAAACTTCCCCTGCGTCCGGAACTATTATCACCTCCCTCACCCTGAAAAACTCTATTCATCTCCTGACTTCATTGAGACCCGCCCTCTCCTGAGGCATCACTTCCCTTGTAGCCCTCTCACGTGGCATTATTATTTCCTCACGTCTTGTGTGTTTTAGGGATGAGTAGAGAGATTGTTGTCACCCTGGGACATTGTTTTGCTTCGAGATCATTACTCCTCAAACTGGTTGTTTGAGGAAAAAAACAACTTGCTTCTGAAGGTGGTGCTCTTTACCTCTCTCACCCTCACCTCCACTGCACTATTGTCTGGGCCATTTCCTCATTCATTGAGCGTTTAGCACCTGGTCTCGGTCTTCTTCCTCATCATGAATCCTTTACAGCTTCCCAGTGCTCTCAGTGTTTGCGTGGAGAATCTGTCCAACTTTGTGGCCTTGGATCTTCAACCTGCTTATCCCCGAAGTCCTTCTCCCTTCACTGACCACCCTCTCCCACGCTCACACCTCGGACCTTGAATCTCCAGTAGTTGCTCTGTTTCTGAAACCACATCAAACACTTTACTCTTACCAGGACCACTCCTTCTGTGTCTCGCTCATAGCTACCTCCACCATGGTTGTACTTGGACCTCATTGCAGTGTCTCATCTACTGGCCCTGCTGCTTTCTACAACCCATCAACCTTTTTGTCCCCTCATTTCCCTTCTCATCCAGTTGAGATTCTACCACTCTTTTAAATCCTTAATTTCTCTTGCTCCCTGCATTTCCAATGCATTTCCCTGACAAAATCACAACTCAGGTAAACCCAACTATCCAGGTCCTATGGAGATTGGTTCTCCTAAATCTTTAAATTCAACAAGTCCAAAATGCCCAGAGTTTTAATATGTTCTGGTCCACTTATTCCCTCTCTCCTGCCACCCAGAGGGCAGTCATTTTCCATAGCTGAGCCCAGCCCTGCTTCTGTGTTTCGAATTTTATCTTTCTTATCTTCTCAGCAACCTTTGACTGTGGATTGTCTGTCAACTATGTTCTGGAGACACAGCTGGCTGTGCTTCTATTCCCCTCTCTATGGAGACGAGTCACAGATTTACACCTCTAGCCAAGACCTCTTGCTGAGCTCCAGGTCCTGTACCATATCCTGCCTTGTCCTCAGAATTCTAGCCATTAACCTTCTGTGTGAGGGTCATGCTCCCTCCTGCCACGGGATTATAGGACTTGCTGTTCCCCTCACTGGAAACCTCTTCTCTCTCCTGTTTGCTACAGCCCACAGCTCCAGGTGTACTTCAGGAAGGCCAAATTACTTGATTAATGTGTAACTGCCTTGCTAAACTGAATGTTCCACAAGGGCTGCTACCAAGCTTGGTGTGTTCACCATTTTATCTCCAGGACCTAGTGCAATACCTGGCACAGGATGAATAAATATTTCTGGAAGGAGTGTGTCATGAACATCATGCTCTGCATGTGATTTTTTAGCTTTTGCCATCAATTTCAGAATGAAAGTTAAAGACTCGAAGTCATGAATAGCCCTATTCCCTAAGACATCATTTATTTATCGCCCTGTTCCTGGCTGCTGACATATGGCCAATCAAACAGTTGCTCCCTGGCACCACTAAAGAGCAATCTGCTGCTCAGGGCATCTGGGGCTTGCCCTGCTGTAACCCAGAGTCTGGGCCCAGTGAGGCTCACAGCCATGCTCATCGGCAGCTCCACAGGGTGCCTGGTGCTCTCATAGAGCTCAGGTGGGAGGAAATGAGGGCCCCGTCTCCCTGGGAACCTGTACACTGTCCAGAAGAACCATAGTGCAAAGCATATTTATAATTTAAATTTTTCAGAGTCACATTTTTTAAAAAGACAAAAAGAAACAGGTAAAATGAATTTTAGCTATATAGTTTAAGCCAGCATATCAAAAATATTTGGCCGCCTTTTTCCACACGACGTCTGGCATCCGGTGTGCGTTTTACACTTACAGCACATCTCAACCAGGTCTGCCCGCATGCCCGTGGTCAGCAGCCACGTGCAGTGGGTGTTGTATTGGACAGCACAGTTCTAGGGACTGCCTCTGGGGGGCTGCTGGGATTGCCTCGGAGAAGCCAACACCCTCTGCACTCACCTGGGAATTTTGAAGGGGTGGCATTACTTTCATGGAAGACCTTTCCCAGTTTTAGGAAGATGCTCAAATCTGTGTATCCCTGGGAAATGTGCCTCAAGTTTTGGTCTTTTTCAGTAATTTAGGAAGTTTTAGGAATATGATTTTCCTACCTTCTTCTTTGTTCCCCACATACTGGGAAGACATTACTCTGAGTGGGGAGGTTTAATGTGCTAATTTGGTATAAGTTATAGATGCCAAGGGAGCCGTTTGCAAGCATGTGTCTGCTCCCCGCCTTAATGTAGTCATGGCACATTATAGTCTTTGCTTCACCTCCTCCTCGTTTATTATCGTTGGCTTCAAAAGGGCCTGCCATCTTCCAGCTGTGTTCTGTGGCCACCCATGCCTTAACATTTAGAGGGTTGAGGTCTTTTGCAGATTTACATCTGAGAGTCAGTGGGAAGTTACTTTCAGACTACAATAATGGCTTGTTGATTAATAGGCCTTTATTTATTTATTTATTTTTTTTGCCAAATGTTGCAGTATTTGTTTCTGCTTTGAAGAATTCCTAACATATTGGTTCCAAAATATTTGGAATCTTGAGCCAAGTTTTGCCTTAAATATTTAGCATGTTGTTTTCTTCAAGCTTGAATATTTCAAGCCCAGCTGAATGATCCTGCAAAATTGTGCTGCATCACAATTGTTTCAGAGCTAAGCCCTTTCTTTATTCTTGGGCAAATTTCAGTTTACAGCTGTTCTTTCCCTGGCAAGATTTATTCACTGTCAATTGATATCTGAAATTCAAATACTGACTCAGTCTTAATAAAAGGACACAAATTGTGGCATATCTTTGGAAAATGAGTAAGGAAACATTTTAAGGCAATTATTTTAATATATTCTTCTGTTCCACTACAAATGAAACTTCAAAATACATTTATTAAGCACTTAAGATGATATTAAAAGGGAGAAAAGTTATGAGGGTTTCAAATAAAATTTTTAACGTTATAAAAAATCTATTCTCTAGTCTAAAACTTACCTTAGTTACAGTGCAAAGATAAATGTTTTGAATCATGATTTCAAAAATTTCTTATCACATGAATATGTTCATGTATATTATTTTTAAAAAGCAACTTTGATTTTGCAATTAACCATACATAATATAAATATAAAATTACTACGGACCTTGTGATGTTCTTCCCTTATAATCATAGATACTTAATGTCTTTTTTATAGATTATCACATTTTTTGTTTTGTCTTTTTTTGTTTGTTTTGTAAGCAGGAGGATAAATTTACATTATTGTGTTGTTGGTGATAGGTTCTCAAAATGCCTGATCTTAGACCTTCAACTTTATCTGTAAAACAGAGATAATGATAGTATCTGCCTCATAGGATTGTTATGAATGTTAAGTAAATTAATACTTATAAATCACTAAGAGTAATTCATGGAACATAATAAGAGCTTTGTGTTTGTAAAATATATCAAAATGTTCTCTTATTTAGGAAAGATTTTTTCAAAAACTATTTTAAAGCTTTACTTACATGAAACAACATTTCTGTTACTATTGTATTCCTTCATTTCTTTAATTGAGCCATGCTAATTAACCTCCATTTTTGGCTTTGCATAGAAATTTGTATTGAAAAGTTATTTATGCTTCTGAATGCAGTTTTCAATTGCTGATATAAAAAGTCTGCCGATAGCTAAAGCCACTAGAAGATGAATATTTGATGACAGTAACCATTTCAAAACCCACTGCTGCATTTCAACTGAAAATAATCCTCCCACCTTCCCACGAGAACTTCCTATATCATCACCTCCTGTCAAGTTCTTTTTCTTTCAATGGTTCTGACATTTCGGAGGCTTCTCAGTCAGAAATGCCCAATGCAGCTTACTGGCTACACTATGGCGTTTCACAGGAAGCATTGGCTTCCATTTCAGGTGGTGCGATTTGTGCTGAATCGTAATCTATCAGCCAACTGGAACCACAGGCCGGGCAGTGTCACTCAAATACATTAATCATGCAGTGTAGGCCAGTGGTTACTCCCTAAGTCCTCCGAGGGGCTCTTTCCCACTCAGAGGGAGAGACTGGAGGCAGGAGTTGCCAGGATAGGAGAGACAATGCTCAATCATCCATGTGGTATCTTTCCTCAGCTTGATGAAAAGGGTGCAGACCTGAAATGGGCTGATGGTCCTTGTTCTTGTTCTGGGGGTAATTTGTGATTGATGCCATGCCCCTCTCTTAGTCCAGTGCCAGTTCTGAGGCTTAGAGCGCTGCGGAGATTTTCATACATCTGAGCTGGAATTGTTCATAGCTGCCTGCAAATGCCATTTGCATTTTGTGTTTATGGCATTACTTACACATTATTTTAAGAAGATCAGGGGTTTCGCCTAGGAGTTTTGAAAGGATATGGGAAGAATATTTTAGAATGGGGTAGGGAATGAAGGGGGAAAGTTTCACAATGGATAAATTTAGCAACTTCGAAAAGCAGAAGAAAAAATAAAATTGTATAGTCATTCATAAATCTAGTTCAATGATCACATAGAGACATTGGTGGCTGAAATTGTAGCTATATTTTACTTTCAGCCTTAAATATTTTTCACTTACAATGGCATTTCCTTTCATGTTCATAATTTCCCAAGTTAAATAATAAGTAGCGGTGGTTGAATTAATTGCTTTTTGCATGGAATGGTCACTGGCAGCCCTGTTTTCTCTTACTGTCATTTGCTTCATTCTGTTTTATTTACTAACTAGAGGCCCGGTGCATGAAATTCGTGGGGGAGGGGGGGGCGTGTCTCGCAGCCCGGCCTGCACCCTTTCACAATCTGGTGCCACTGGCTCCTAACCGCTCACCTGCCTGCCTGCCAGATCACCCCTAACCAATCTGCCTGCCTGCCTGCCTGATGCCCCTAACTGCTCCCCTGCCTGCCTGATCACCCCTAACCGCCTCTGCCTGCCTGCCTGATAGCCCCTAACCGCCTCTGCCTGCCTGCGTGATAGCCCCTAACCACCTCTGCCTGCCGGCCTGATCACCCTAACTGCCCTCCCCTGCCAGCCTGGCCGCCCCTAACTGCCCTCCCCTGCCGGCCTGGTTGCCCCTAACCGCCTCTGCCTTGGCCCCTACCACCGTGGCTTTGTCCAGAAGGACGTCCAGATGGATTTCTGGAAGATGTCCGTTCTAATTAGCATATTACCCTTTTATTAGTATAGATCAGGGGTCCTCAAACTTTTTAAACAGGGGGCCAGTTCACTGTCCCTCAGACCGTTGGAGGGCCGGACTATAGTTTAAAAAAAAACTATGAACAAATTCCTATGCACACTGCACATATCTTATTTTGAAGTAAAAAAACAAAACAGGAACAAGTACAATATTTGTATTTGCATGTGGCCCGTGGGCTGCAGTTTGAGGACCCCTGGTAGAGATGGAGTACTGTGTGCTGTGGGGGACTTAGTGACATCCTGAACCTCTGGTGAGTCAGGCAGGTCCAGTGGATTCTGTGCTCGCCCAGTGCACGGCTGTGACCTTGCTCTGAGCTTGTGTGTCCTCAGAGGACAGCGGAGGTGCAAAGCTGAGAAAGAAGCAGAGAGTTCGGGAGGGGTCATGGAGTGGACAGGGTCACCTGCAGACATGCACAGTTTGAATGCATTTTCACTGAGATGTGCACTTGCTGAGGACAGAGGTTTAGAAGCAGAGGCTCACAGGCCCACAGACATGGGTCAGTGCACAGACACAGGTGGACACACATGGGCATGATTCAGAAAGAGAAACACGAGTAGGAAAGAAAAAGAACCCTGAGGGGGTGAAGAAAGAGAATTCTAGGAAAGGGGAGCAAGAGCATGGTGGAGAGAAAGAAAACGGGGGAGTCCAAAATCCCACTCTAGTATGCTGGAGCCCCCATTCCCCGTCGTTATCGGGGGAGCGAGGCACGTGGGGCAGCCAGGGCTGGTGGAGGACGCGTGCTGACCGGATTGCTCTCCTTCATAGTATTCAAGAAATGCTCACAGGCCAGAGGCTCTGTCACTCGGAATCTCACAATGACAGTGTCCTGGCAGCACTGAATCAGCAGAGGAGCGACGGCATGCTCTGCGACGTCACCCTGATTGCGGAGGAACAGAAATTCCATGCTCACAAGGCCGTGCTGGCGGCGTGCAGCGACTACTTCCGGGTAAGTCCAGGATGTTTGTTTCTCTTCAGATGTCAATTCATCAGGATGATAAAATTTCCTGAAGTGTCACACAACCAGCAGCCAATTAGATGGGAGTTCTCAGAGTTGTAAGTATTGGGGGCCTCCCCTGGCAAAATGAGATGGGGCCCTATTGGGATCCTTCCTCAGCTGCATATCTGGATGTCCCTCCTTTGTGTCTGAGTTGAGGGGCATTTAACATTTGATCACCCTAAGAAAGTGTGGCATTGTAGTGCTTCATCATAGGGGGTGTGAGCTGGGGTTAGGATGTTTCTAGATTCAGGATCAGAAGGGGAATCTGAAAATAATTTGATAAATAAAGTCCCTAAAGATATATAATGCTTCTGATTTTGTTTTTATGCATGTTCTAGTCTTACTGCTTTCCAATATTTGCTCCAGGAACAGAAATGCAATTGGCCTCATGGACCTTTCTGGTTGACATGTGTGTCCATAATGGCTGAAGAAGACATGTTGTCTTGTTTAGCAGGACTCTGGAGTTTGAGTTCTAGTAGCAAATGAGATGTGGTGACATGCTTTTTGTTTTGAAGATGAATGTGCACAGTATGGTTATAGCTAGCTGAATGCCATCTATTTAGTACTTCAGGTGATTCAGGCACTCCTGTGATTCAGGTGGTGGAAAAAAGATTTTATATGCATATCTCATTTAATCCTCCTAACAACCCATTTTACAAACACATACAAGTGCTATAAAAATAAACATTTTTCATATGGAAACTGAATCTTAGAAGTTAAGTAATCCTATATAATGAAAGGCTAATATGCAAATTGTCCCTTTGACTAGGAGTTTGACAGGGAGTTTGACCAGGGGGCAGGGATGGCCTGCCAATCGCCCACAGCCCCTCCCCCAGCCAACCCCACCCCCAATCAGCTCCTCCCGTGGCCCACCAACTGCCTGCAGCCCCTCCCCCCAGCTGGCCCCACCCCTGATCACCCCTCCCACCCCAATCAGGGGCAGGGCCAGCTGTCCAACTGCCTGCGGCCCCTCCCCCTGGCCAGCCCCACCCCTGATTGGCCCCCCCACCCAATCAGGGGCGGGGCTGGCCAGCCCCCAAACATGCATGAATTCGTGTACCAGGCCTCTAGTTTTAGATAACTCAGAGGTTAAGTAATAAGTCTCATAGTTTCTAAGTGAAATTAAAATATGGATGTAAGAAAAAAATCTTGATAATCATTAACCAGAATATTTTTAAATATTAATTTCTGAATATACATTATTTAATTCTGATTTAATTTTCTTTTTAATGCTATTTTGGTTGATAATTTCAAAACATTACAGTGTACAATCTATATAAATGAGTGTATATATATATATATATATATATGTGTGAATTTTTAAAATTTTCCTTATGAAAGTCTCAAAAATGATATAGAAACCAACTTAGGCCCATGGGAAATTTGTTGGCTTGATTTGTATATTTCCAATAATCTTGTTTTTTATGATTAAGAGACATTATTAACTGCACTCAATTGTGAACCAGCAGTTAAAGAGAATTTTCAAAGATGCCAAATCATAAAAGAAAGACTTTTAGAAATAGTGTTTTAAGTGTGGTAAAACCTAGTAATGTAGAGGATAAATGGATAATTACTTAAAATGTCTATCTAAAATAAAAAGTGGGGATTTAATTATAGACTGCAGCAATGAAGCAGAATATCTGAAAAGTGACCTTTAGTTGCATTCGTATAATGATATATTTTATACACTCTCAAATTGTTGGGCACTAATCTTCCAGAAAGTTTACATTAATCAGAGGATGTTTCAAACAACATATTTTGAATTATAATATATAGCATGTGCACATTATATAATAGAAGTCCTGTCTTCCTGTGTACCATAATATAACTGTCTTGGTGCTTAGCTGCTCTCCTCTGAAGTCTCTCCTGATTGGGTTTTTAATTTAATTTTGGGAAATGGTTTGATTTGTGCATGTGTGTATGTGAGCCAGTGCATGCATGTGAGTGCAAGAGAGCGTTTTCCTTGTTGGCATTTAATAGTGTTTGTTGCTACTCCCAGGTCTTCATCTCTTCCACCACAATGCCCCTGATATTCTGGTAGGTTAGACACAGAGGACCTCTTTTATAATACCTGTGTTATAATGCCTATGAAGAAAGCTTTATTGTTCCCATTCTGCAGATAAGGAAGCTAAAGTGCAATATGCGTAAATATCCTGCCCAAGGACTGCCAGACATTAAGGAGCAGAGCTGATTTTCACACCCCAGAGCATCTGTCTCCTTGAGTACCAAGTGTGCTTTCTCCACTTAACCACATGGCCTGCTGGGTTCATACACAGTTCCTTCAATGTCATCACCTGTTTGTGAGAAGAAAATTAAGTGACTTGTGTATTGATTGTTCTGATCGATAAATTGAGACAAAGTTGAAACAATTGTCACAGTCTGAATAGTACAGTCCATAAAAAATTAAATTTTTTAAGTAATGGGTAGTAAGTATGACTGTCCTTTACTCTGGAGAGAGACATTATTATACTGGCCAGGAAGCATGCCTACCCTTTGCTCTGCAAAGAGAATGGTATCTTCCAGGATTGTAAGCAAGACTGCCTTTTGCTCCAAAGGGAAAACCACTCTGTCATTCAAACCTCTTTGCTATAGAAACATCTTTGAAAAGAGAGTTCAGAACAAAGGACAGTCAGTGCCTCGCTTTCAATACGTGCATAAATGCAAGAGACCCATGGAGGACCGTCTCCCAACAACCACATGTCCTAACTAACATGATGTTTGTCTTTCTTGTGTCTTATGCACTGCCACACTGAGATATCTGGAAGCGGTATCCTGTTTTAGGATTTTCTGTATATTTCACAAGCCTTATAATGTTGCTTCAGGCTTAGTAACTGCTCAATTAATATTTATTAAGTGAGTGATGTTTTCTAATTGTCATAGAAATTATGTATATTTCAATTCTTAATATCCTGCATATGAAATATGAAAATTATTCATGGATAGTTTTTTTATGTGATCTGTTCAGATTAATTAAGTACTTCGATGTAAATAGATTTTTGTACTCTGTATTTTGATATCTGGCAGATTATTTTGAAACTGAAGTAATGGTTCTGATTCAGGAGAGGTGGGGCTTGCAAAAGTGAGGAGAAGGCCCCAGTTTTTACATAAACAGTTTCTGTACATTGATCTGAGAGTTGGCATCAGCTTTTCTTGATTAAAATATGAATAATGAGTAGTTGAGCATAAAATACTGTGACTTCTTGTGATCATCAACATTTTAAAAGGAAGGGTGAAAACAAAGTTTTTGGCGAAGTAATAATGATTTTTAAAATAAGGTTTAATATTAGTGGTGTGGGCTGAACATGGCATTTGCCAAATGCTATACCTGAGTCAGACCAGGGACTTTTTAAATAAGAATGTAAAGCAGTGGTGGAAGGAAGGAAGGGAAGAGCTTATGAATCAGGTCTGATTTTGAATGCAGCGTTAGGGATTGGGCTCACCACAGTTTTTCCCAATTCCTGACAAATAGTAGGTGCTATTCTAATTAATATTGGCTTATTCACTCTCTTTACTATCTATTCTTTGATCATAGACATGTCATCTTACTTCTGTGAACCTACGTTTTTTCATTTGTGAATAGATGATCACAAAACACAGCTCTCAGAATGGCTTGATACAGAGATTTAAATGATATATTGTAATGTACTAAGCGCTGTATCTGACACAAAGAAGACCTTCAGTGAACACTAGCTGTTTCACTCCTTGCACTAACTTGCAATTTCTAGCCATGCTCTGCCTATTTGTAGGAAAAGAAAAGAGTTCATACTTAGGCTCACCTAATTACAGACTCATTTACCTTTTGATGGGTGAGAATAACTTTTTGGTTTCATCCTTTATCATCTTTTCATTTTCTGAATCTGACACCTCCTTCCTTCTTGTGTAGAACATTCTAGTAGCCATCTGACATTTCTCCTCCTTTGGTTGCCCCTTTGCTAACCATTGTGCAGACGACTGTGTGATTACTTTCACACCTTTGCCCTGCTCAGGTCTTCCAAAGCTCCTCACTCCCAGTCTGCCAGGCTCCTGGAGCGAGCCTTCATGCTGTGCCACCATCATTATCCTCATCTTTGTTCTCCCACCTGTTCATTTGATGTTGCAGCCAGACTGTTCTCTAAACACACTGTTTTCCACCTGAGGGCCTTTGCCCTTCTCGGCCTTGCTAATAACTATTTCTTCCACCTGGAACTCCTATTCCTTTCTTAGTCCCTGGGCATCTACCAAGGTATATACCACAGCCAACAGCAGGTGTGAAGTCCTTCACAAAGGCGTTACCCTCTGCCATCTCCCTAAATTCATATGCAAGTCCCCCCTCCTCTGAAACCTTAAAACTAGCTTGTCTCTCTCAAGGAATTAAAATGCAACCTATGGAATGGGAGAAAATATTAGCAAAAGAATCCAATTAAAAAAATGAGCAGAGGAACAGAATAGACATTTTCCAAAGAAGTCATACAGATGGCCAATGGATACATGAAAAGGTTCTCAATGTCACTAATCATCAGGAAAATGCAAATCAAAAATCACATCACATGTATTAGAATGACTATTATCAAAAAATGTAGGTGATAACAGATGTTGACAAGGATGCAGAGAAAAGAGAACCCTTTTATTTGTTGGTGGGAATGTAACTTCATGCAGCCACTATGGAAATGAAAGAATATGAAGGTTTCTCAAAAATTAAAAGTAGAACTACCATATAAGATCCAGCAATTCTACTTCTGAATATGCATCCAAAAGAAATAAAATCAGAAACTCAAAGAGATATTTGCACACCCATGTTTATTGCAGTGTTATTCATGATAGCCACTGTATGGAACAACCTAAGTGTCTGTCCATGGATGAATGGATAAAGAATATGTGGTTGTGTGTGTGCATGTGCTTTTATATATAATGGAATATTATTTACCCATACGAAAGCAGGAAATCCTGCTATTTGCAGCAACATGGGTGAA